CGGTCCGTGTGGGGCGGCGGGGCTCTGCTGGCAGCCCTGCCTGCCCTGCCCTCTCCGGTGCCCAGTGCCTGGATGAGCAGCTCCTCCGGCTGGGCTGGGGCTGAACTGGGCTCCACTCCCCACTGCTGGCACTCAGTGGGGAAAGCATCCAGGCGCCCAGCTGTGCAACCAGCTGCCACTTCAGTCGTGTGGGAGGAACGGTGCTGGGCGAGCCCAGCAGTCCTGGCACAGGCTCGGGGGACAAGTTTGTCTCCCCCAGGCCTTGCTCCAGGCACGCTGGGAGAGGTGGCCTTGTGCCAGGGGTTCTGCCTGGGGTTGCTGGTGGCATGGCGGAGGCTGTGCTGGCACAGCTGCTCCAAGCGGGGTCCCCTCTTGCCGAGCTGGGAGAGCCAGGGCCACCCGTGACTCCCTCCCTGCCCCTGTTCGCAGCCCCTGTCAGCTTCCCCCGTGCCCTTGCAGGTTTGCGGGGCGCGGTGAAGCCTCCAGGCTCCTCGGTGGGGAATGGGGGGCCAGGGGGTCTGAGGGCGGCTGCGGTGCTGGGCAGGGCAGCCAGTGTGCTGCTGGGCTGCGCAGGGGCTTCAGTTGCTGTTTTCCTCCTTGTGTATGAAAGGTCCCATTCATCCTGCTGCAGCAGGGCTCAGGTTCTCATCTGGGCTGAGCCGGGTCCCTGAGCGTGTGTTAAAAGCAGAGGGGATTTTGCAGTGGCTCCAGCCCAGCCATGGGGCCGGCTGTGATGCAATGAAAATATTACGAAAGCTGCCCGGGCTGATGGATGGCGGCTGCTGGCCAAGGTGCTGAGCACGGCACTGGCAGCGCCTGGCAGGGGGAGCGCCGGGGCCGCCCGGGGGAGGGCGGGGTTTTCGGGAGCGTGGGCTGGACAGGGGTCCTGGCTGGGTGGCCCCCGGGCTCTGCAGTGGCCAGGCTTTTGGGATCCTGGGCTGCAGGGGAGCCATTGCAAGGGATGCTGCTCTCCTCCTGCCCCTGCCCGGGGCTCAGCACTCACAGTTATCTGGGCTCAGGGCAGGACCTGGCTCCTTCTGGGTCTGGCCAGCTGGCTCCCCCCTTCCTGCACTACAGGGCTGTGTCCCTCCAGGACGAGGGGTCTGCATCCTCCCCGCTGGCCCTGGCCCCAGCTCTGCTCAGTGCCTGTGTCAGCGCTCGGCTTCGGTTTCCACTTTAATTAACTCGAGCAGGAGGAACATGGAAAAACCTGGGCTGGAGCCTCCCCCGCCTGCTTTCCCCAACAAAGGCCTCATTGAGGCTGGCCCGGCACCCTGCCATGCCGGTGCCCGGTGCTGGGAGCCGGTGGTGCCCCAGTGGGGGGCAGGGCTGTCCTGGGGGGCAGAGGGGCTGCGGCCATCGGGTCTGCACGGGGCATGCTGGTGGGCGGCGGCTGTTGCAGAGCCCCTGCACATCCTCTCAGCTGGGTGGCTGCAGGCTGGGGAACCCCATCCTATGGTGGGGTGGTGGGCACCAGCTGAGGGCTAAGAGCAGCGGGCGTGGGGATGGGCAGCCCTGGCACAGGTCAGCTTTCACAGCAGGGAAGCACACGGGCTTCTCGATGCACCATCTGTTACGGGAGACTTTGGCTATCCCTCCCCAAACCAGGGGAGACCGGCTCCATCCAGAGCAGCACTGCGGAGAGCCGGGGTGCAGGGACTGTCCAGGTGGGGTGAGACCATGGTCTGGGACAGCCCCAGGCCCGCATGAGCCCTTGTGCTGGGGCACAGCAGGTCTGACCCCAGGTCTGCACTGGGTCCACAGCAGCCCCTGCTGCCTCGTACGTAGGGAGTGGGGACGAGGATGTGAGGGTCTTTCATAAGGCAGGGCATCCCCCTGTGCTTGCCGGGGACCCCACATGCCCCCCTCACTTCCCCACTGGCTCCTGCAGACGCGGAAGCTGTCGAAGACGGAGCGGCAGCGGGTCAGCGGGGAGGGGGAGATGCTGAAGGGGCTGCAGCATCCCAACATCGTCCGCTTCTATGACTCCTGGAAGTCGTCCATCAAAGGCCAGATCTGCATCGTGCTGGTCACAGAGCTCATGACGTCCGGCACCCTGAAAACGTGAGCAGGGACTGCCAGGTCGGGGTGCACAGGGGAGGAGACGGGGGTCTCTGCCGTGATGGGGAGGCAAGAGACAAGTCTGCACACCCTGCCTGGGCACCTGACATGGGCGTTCAGGTGGGGATGACGGGCTGTGGTGGGCTTGGGTGGGATCTGAGCGGATGACGGGGCAGGGCTGGGAGCTGGAGACAGAAATTGGGGGTCGCTGCTGGATGTTTGGAGACCCAGGAGCTTCACTGGCACCGTCCTGCGTGGGGGTGGTGTGGCCCGGGCACCCTGGTGCCAAACGGGGTGGTAGCACTGGCCGCTCGCCCCGTCTGGCTCCTGGCACCGGTGGCTCAGGGAGCTCGGCTCCTCCTGGGTTGCGTTTTCTGTGCTGTCGGTGCAGAGCCCAGCCGGGGAGGGGACCGGGTGCCCCTGACTCCAAGACGCTCTTTGCCACTCGCCCTGCGTGGCACCCGTGTCCAGATGGGCTCAGTATGGTGGTGGGAGAAAGGTGCGCTGGGGCCAGGGCGTGGGTCCAAGCCCCATGTGTCCGAGCTCCGTGGGTCCCTTGGCAGCTATCTGAAGCGGTTCAAGGAGATGAAGCTGAAGGTGCTGCAGCGCTGGAGCCGGCAGATCCTCAAGGGGCTGCATTTCCTGCACACCCGCTCACCCCCCATCATCCACCGTGACCTCAAGTGCGACAACATCTTCATCACGGGCCCCACCGGCTCGGTCAAGATCGGGGACCTGGGCCTGGCCACGCTCAAGCGAGCCTCCTTCGCCAAGAGTGTCATAGGTGGGGTCCCGGCGTGGCCCTGGCAGGGCCAGGCTTGCCGCTGTCCCATGGTGGCTGCAGGGGGGGCGGTGGCCCGGGGGGGGTGAGCCCCGCCGC